ACTTTGGCTACGGCATGAGGGCTCAGGGTCCTGCCCGCACAGGGAGGATGGATGGTGGAAAGGCAAGAACCAGACTTTCAGTCTCAGCCACGAGAGAAATTTTCTACCCCCAACTCTAATTTACAGGATGGCAAACTCTCACACAAAGGAAAGAGATTAAGAGATAGAGAAGTCAAATACATACAGCCTACCAAGACTGAACCATGAAGAAATCCAAAACCTGAAGAGACCAATCACATATAATGAGACTGAAGCCATAATAAAAAAAAATCTCTCAGCAAAGAAAAGCCTGGTACTCAATAGCCTCACTGCTGAATTTTACCAAACATTTAAAGAAGAACTAATACCAATTCTACTCAAACTATTCTGAAAAATAGAGGGGGATGAAATACTTCTAAACTCATTCTATGAGGCCAGTATTACCCTGATACCAAAACCAGACAAACACACATCAAAAAAAGAAAACAACAGGTCAATAGCCCTGATAAACATTGATGCACAAACTCTCAACAAAATACTAGCAAACTGAATTCAACAACACATTAACAAGATTATTCATCATGACTAAGTAGGATTTATCCCAGGGAAGCAAGGATGGTTCAACATACACAAATCAATTGATATGCTCCATCCTATCAACAGAACGAAGGACAAAAATCATATAATCATTTCAATTGATGCTAAAAAAAGCATTTAATAAACTTCAACATCCCGTCATGATAAAAACCCTCAAAAAACTTGGTGTAGAGGAAACATACTTCAATGCAATAAAAGCCATATATGACACACCCACAATTAGTATACTGAATGGGGAAAATGTAATGCCTTTCCACTAAGATCTGGAACAAGACAAGGATGCTCACTTTCACCACTGCTATTCAACATTGTACTGGGAGAGCAATCTGATTGCTAGAGCAATCAGAAAATAGAAAGAAAAAAAGCGCATCCACGTTAGGAAGGAAGAAGTCAAATTATCCTTGTTTATAGATGATATATCATCTTATATTTGGAAAAACCTAAAAACTCCACCAAAAAATCTATTAGAACTGATAAATTCAGTAAAGTTGCAGGATACAAAATCAACATACAAAAATCAGTATCATTACTATATGCCGACAGTGAACAACCTGAAAAAGAAAACAAGAAAGTAATATAATTTACAATAGCTACAAATAAAATAAAACACCTAGGAATTAATCAAATAAGTGAAAAATCCCTGCAATGAAAACTATTAAAAATTGATGCAAGAAATTGAAGAGGACACCAAAAAGGTGGAAAGATGTTCAAGGATTGGAAGAATCAATATTGCTAAAATGTTCATACTACTGAAAGCAATCTACAGATTCCATGCAATCCCTCTCAAAATACCAATGACATTCTTCCAAAAAAAAAAAAAAAAGAAAGCAATCCTAAAATTTATATGAAACCACAAAAGACTAAGAATAGCCAAAGCCATCCTGAGCAAAAAGGACTAAACTGGAGAAATCAAACTACCTGATTTCAAGTTGTACTACAGAGGCATAGTAACCAAAGCAGCATGATACTGGCATAAAAATAATAATAACAACACGAATGGAACTATAGGACATTATGTTAAGTGAAATAAGCCAGGGACAGAAAGATAAACTTCACATGTTCTCATTCACTTGTGGGAGCTAGAAATTAAAACAATTGAACTCATGGAGATAGAAAGTAGAATGATGGTTACCAGAAGCTGTGGAGGGGAGTCGGAAGTGGAAAGTCAGGGGGAAGCAGAGATGGTTAAAGTGTGCAAAAATATAATTAGATAGAATGAATAAGATCCAGTATTTTATAGCACAACAGGGTAATTACAGTCAACAATAACGTACTGTACATTTTTAAATAACGAAAAGGTATGACTGGAATGTTTGTCACACAATGAAATTACAAATGCTTGAGGTGATGGATACCCCATTTGCCCTGATGTGATTATTATGCATTGTATGTCTGTACCAAAATATCTCATGTACCCCATAATTACACCTACTATTTATTCATAATTTTTTTTTCTTTTTTTTAAGGAATAGAGGCTGGGCACAGTGGCTCACGCCTATAATCCCAGCACTTTGGGAGGCTGAGGTGGGCAGATCACGAGGTCAGGAGATCAAGACCATCCTGGCCAACATGGTGAAACTCCATGTCTACTATAAATACAAAAATTAGCTGGGTGTGGTGGCACGTGCCTGTAATCCCAGTTACTCGGGAGGCTAAGGCAGGAGAATCACTTGAACCAGGGAATCGGAGATTTCAGTGAGCAGAGATCGTGCCACTGCACTCCAGCCTGACAACAGAGCAAGACTCTGTCTCAAGAAAAATTAAATTAAATTAAATTAAATTATAAAGGGATAGAGAAGCTTAAAAAAAAAAAATGTCCACTACCAGGTAATTCAAAGTATTTAAAAATAAGCAAGATTCTTGTGTCCATGGAAACTTTTGGGTATGGTTCTGTGTGAAGCTGGGAAGGAAGAGAAAATGAGTTACAAGGGTCCTCTCTGGCTTTAATTCTGTGAGTTCTGCAAATTTACCTCTTGCCAGCAGGCCCAGTGGCTGGGGGAAGAGGCAATGGCTTGCTATTTTCGACATGCCAACAAAAGAGAAAGTTTTGGGACACTTTCTGGGAAAGTAATATTGTCCATCTTCCCGCCTCTGAACGCAGCACATCGGTTTTGAAAGCCACTCACTGTCTTCCTGGCTTTCTCTGGAGGGCCTTGCCTGTCTCGCCATGCTTCTTTCTGTCTAACTGATGGCTCTCATGCTGTAGTGCAGGCGGCCCATTTTCTCTCTTCACAACCTCGTGGAGATGGAACACAGCTGGTCCCTGCTCCTCTGGGGAATAACTAAAACTTATTTAAGTAGAAACACCGGGGTCCTAAAGAATTTTCCCCTTTGTTTGAAGATGAATGACTTCCTCTTAGGGCTACTCTGAAGGGCTTCCACCTGAATTGTGGCAACTTCAAAGGCTCCCCACATTTCTGCTCCAGAGGCCAGAGGATGGCTGGGGCCTTCTCCCGTTGCTTCTGCCCAAGACTCAGCAGCCTCTGCCTTAAACTCACCCCTTGAGCATCTAGGGAAGGGCAGTGTGCTCATGTGCTATGCTGATGGGCATAGGTGTCTGCCTCTGCACAGATGCATACATTGGCTTGCATTCTGGAGTAGGTGTGTGTGTCCAAAACACATCACGCTCTTTACATTGTTAAGAATCAGCTTTGGAAAGCAAAGAAATGAGAGGGGGAAACAGCATTCAGCTAAGGTCTTATATCCTCAGTTTCAGTTTGTAATAAATATTTATGACCAAGTTACAACAAGTCCTGAAAAAAGAAGCATTTAATAGAAACACAGATACTTAACCCTTGTGTTAATTACAGGCTTCTGCTGGCTTATTCGAGATAGGCTTTATGTTCATTTTTAAACTCTTTGCAGTGATTCTTTTCTTCCTTTTCAAAAAACAGGCTTAGCAAGCAGCTGTTTTCTATATGCAGCTGGATCCTGCAACAGACAACTGTTTCTCTTTTAGCAACTTTGTCAAGCTTGATTTGAGACTAATCTGACTGCAGGTGTCAGGTAAGAATAGGACATTGGCAAGGACCAAGAACTCTATGAAAGAGGAGGGAAAGAGGCCCAGGAGCAAAGGGACATATTGTTCAGAATGCAAGGCAATCGAGGACCCATGGGCTGAACTGTGGATGGCATAGATACACGCCTGGTTGCTGGCTGGCACACGGTTTCCATCACGGACTCCCCACCTGGGTCCACAGAAAAAGATGCTTGCAGGCAGAATGGCAGAGTGTTTTCATTGCCATGTCCCCAGTAACATAAAATCTCACAAACAACCTCCATAAATCACACCATGACATCTACTGGGCTTGTCCAACGCTAAACATAAGTGGACTCTTAAGTCAAGTCTTAAGTTGTAGACAGCACCGTCACCCTTCAGCAAACATCTGTAGTTCATCTTATCGTTTGAAGAAATATATGAGTTTCACTGTCTTTTTTTTTTTTAAGCCTTTTGCAGCTTCTGCTCCTTGATTTGTTTGAAGGCCATCTGCTATGTATAAAATTGGGGGTGGGGGCATGCTGTGGAAAAGGAACCATTTGGGAGATGTAGAGGCTGGGACAAAATGCAAACACAGTGAATGTTTTTGTCAGCTTTGGTGAACAGGCCACTTCCCTTTCTGAGCCCCCAGCCCCTCGGTGAGAGTTGGACTTGGGGCATCGCCATTGGCTGTGGCTGAAGCCTGTGCTGGTTTTGTCTTGTGGTTATTACTCTACCACTCAATATGTTAATCATTGTTCACCCCCAGTGAATACAAGAGTCCTAGCACTGGTGATTCTGAGATCTTTCAAAAGCTGAGAATACACATTTGAGTTGGCCTCCAAAGCTCTTCCAAAGATGCCCCTGGAACTGGGGGATTAAAGGGGGCAACCAGGAGCCGTGGGGGTGTTTCTCACAAGGATGGGAAGAACGTCCCAGTAGAGGGAGTGTATGTCATGGCATAAAGTTACCACAGGGTGGTAGAAGTTGTGCAGTTGCATGTTCTCATTCGGGCATTCTTCCCCAGGAAGCAGAGGGAAAACAAACAGAGGGCTCAGAGGCAAAGATCCGCAGCCCCGACTCCCTGCTTCTGCCTGAGCAGAGGTGTCCGAGCCAAAGCTGGCTTCAGGGAGGCACCAGATGTTTAAACACTTGACCCCTGAAATAACTGCCACTCGCTTCCACCCCTGACCATGCCCGCCAGTTTTCTTGGCCCTGATGTGGGTCAGGCAGTCCACATTGCTCAAGATCCAGGGAGCAGCACTTCACCGACTGGGAGATTAATTGAAAGGATGTGTTTAACAACCAGGGTGAGTGTTGATTTGCCATTAAAGCAGAGCTAAAACAGTGATGATGATGGAAATTTTATTATCACACCAGCTTCTCCTCTTCACCCTGGAAGACTCTGCCTTCCTTATAATGTTAACCAAGGAGTTTCTTATAAATCTCAAGGTTCCAACAACAAGCTTTATTCTCCCATCTGTCCCACAAGATTTAAAGTGCTTTAGTAAAACTGATTAAAGCATTTATCATTATCATCAGTATCAGCAGTATTTGTTTTATCACCATAATTTATAGAACAGTTGTGTTAAGTTCTAACATGGTCCTTTGTGGCATTCCTCCCATTTTTATTTCTCCCACAGCACTCCAGCCCGCAGATGCATAAAAATTTTCAAGCGATGCATCGGGCCACAGGTTTCTAAAGTACATTTGAGCCTCTGCCTCTGAAATGACAAATCAAAATATCATCAGTTTTGTTCTGAGTTGTAATGGAAGGCTGAGTACTCAGGGTTCCGGTTCTACAGGGCACCCCAGCCAGGTCTGACTTTGCCACGTGGCTTTACCCATCACAGGAAGGCAATTTGGGGACACACTGGCCCCCTTCATGTAACAAATGGCTATCGCTTCCCCCTCACCTGAACAACCAAACCAAGCATGGAGATTACTTTGAGCAACATCACAAATTTACCCAACCAAGTAAAGGCTACAGATTTGTGGGATAAAAAAAATTTTTACCCCAAAGGTGAAAAAAAGACCTTCTTGTCCATCATCTCCTGATTACAAGCCAAGAAAATAAACTTGCTTGCAATTGTTAGCCTCTTGGTGGAGAACTGTGGAAAAGTTGCTTAGAGGAGTGATTCAGCAATAAAAGTGGAGGGGGTTGGGGGTTACAGTAAGTTTTCCTCCCTGCCAGAGCACCGTTTTCTCCATAGATGCCTGTGAAACACTCGTGTTGTTCTGCAATTACAGCCATGATTTGTTGGTGCACTTTTATGTAGAAGTGTCTGCATCTGTTGAGGTCTGCAGCGCTACCTCTTTGACAGTTCCAGATGTTGCGAAGATGAAATACCTCCTGCTTGAGGAACTGTGCAACTAGGAGTCCCAAAAGGTGTTCTGAATACAGTTTTAAAAGGCATCTGTCTTAAAATAATTTCAACATCTCGCTCATCTATTTATAAGCTCTGTTGGGTGGGTTTTTGGGCCCTCCCAGACTATTTTGAGGGGCTCATTTTCACATCAAGATATTTTAACCATTGAAGTGACAAACCTCTGCCCTGTTTCTTTCTTTGCCCTGGGTTACCCATTCAACCTGCCTTCTAACACCTTGCAATCTTTTTGTATCAAGCATGAGACAGAAGGGCCTTTTCTTGGGACATGAAGTGGGGAGGAGGCTAAAACACATATGCATGTGTACCACTGGCCTGGGACAACTTAAGATTCACTGGAGAGGAATCAACAAAAGGCTTCTGGGCCAGACTCCACTCTTCCCTAAGACCTCGCAACTCACCACACTGTAAGTCTCTTAAAATAGGAATGCTGCTTGACCCTTACCAGGGCTTTGGAGGGGTGTCTGGGCTTGAGTTTCTACAGGTGAAAACCCATGCCCAAGACCACCCTTAAGAAGACCATTCTCGCGAGGCCTGGTGCAGACTAATGCTATTCTTGGGTCATTTAACTTCACTCTCAGAGAGGAGACAAGGATGGTGCTAAGTTGTAAATCACTCCCCTCTGGAATGGATTTGAGCCAGAACCGATTGGCCTGAGCATTCCTGCCTTGCTTGACCATGGTAAAGAGATTATGGTATGTAAAATTCGGCTAAACATAGCTTGTTTCGATTTCCTACTTTCCTGGTTGTCTGTCTCGCTATGAAAGGTTAAGACCTAGGAGGGGGAGAGACACCCACTCTGTGGAATCCCTCTTACTCCAGGGCAACATTTCCTACTCAGATGCTGTCCATACATAGCCACTGTGCGAGGTTCACACCAAGGGAAGTTGGTCCCATCAGAGAAATATTCATAAACGTGGCCTTTGGGTTGTTTTAATTGGTCAGTCTCACAAAGCAATAAAAACAGAAGGCGTCAAACACTGAAGCCTGCCTGTGGTGTGGTCTGAGCTTACAAATCCCTGCTCACATGTTTGCCATTTCACACAAAGGAAACTTACCTTCCCTTTTCCCTGATGTCATTTCCCTGGGTCCAGAAACAGCAGTGACATCCTCTTAGCAGATCTGGTTGCCCTACTTGGGACTCTTCCTGAAATCCTTCAACCCATGTGGAAATGGTGCCTCAAGTCAAAGTCTCTTGAGATTTTCTTTTGTGGTCCAAGTATCCAAGTTTTAAAAGGAAATTATCTAAGTTAAAAAAAAAAAAAAAAAAAGATTTCCTTACATCTTCTTGCCTGTTTGACCACATAGACCACATGTGCCCACCAGCCTGCTGAAAAAAGTGGGAGGTCCTAGAGATGAGAACGGTAATAATGCACACTGTCAGCATCACTGTCTTCAAATCATTGGAAGCCCTTTTGCTTTCTGGAATGTAAATTTGAAGCATGTGAAACAGTAACTTCCGGCAATGAATGAGGTTAATGGTGCTCGGGCTACGGAGGCAGGTCTGCAGATGAAAAGGCCATGGTGCCAGGACAGATGGGCCCATGCCCCACCCAGGTGCACAGAGTTGGGCGGGGGTGGCTGCCAATGTGGTCAGACAGATGTAAGCAAAGACATCTGCAAATTAAAGCAAATCCCTGCCTCTGGGGCCTTGTCATCCGAATTTGTCTTGCTGAGTAAGGTAGAACCAGAAAGTGATTTTGATTAGCATTTGTCCAAGCTATTTATCATAGGAAATTACACCACTGCGTTTAAGCCTGGGACTTTTACCAACTATTCCTGGTTGCATTGTTGTGATTTCACAGAAGGAGGCAGACGTGGCAGGCAGCAAGTCCCCTTTGCTTGACTTCTACTTCGTTGACAGTTCACGTAGAAGGGCTCCTGTAAGAAGATATTTTAAAATTATAAGCTCAAGAAAACAAATCAGAAGGGAGAGGGTCCTTCTTCTGTTTTTCACTCCATATTAAAGGTGTCAGCAGCAAAGTCTTCTCCTCTAACAGGGGAACAAATATACCAGCAAGTCCTAACTAAGAAAAAAAATCTCCTCTCGTGCAAGAAACGAAAGAAATACTTAAATCGAAAGGTTTACTAAGGTTGATGGAATTTTTATTAAGAATTATTTTCCATAAAAGGAAATAGCTCTGCATTAAGATGAATATTCTAAATGTGGCATTTTTATGAACTTATAAATCTGTGCATAAGCATCTTCATAGAAACCCATTCTTTTTTTTTTTTGCAGACAATTCATTTCTTCCTCTATTTGTTCTGCCACAGATATACTACTTGTCCAGTTATCTGGGGCAGTGATATTTGCAGCTTTGTGAATTTGCTGGAATATATAGGGGGGATAAGAAATGCCCAAAAGTTCTGTTGGAAGCAGGGAATGTACTTTTCAAAATAAGTGGTACCAAACCAACAAATTACTGGCAACTTCACCTCTTATCTGCCAACCTCAGAAGAAGAGTGCCCAGTGTTTAGCACTTCTACTTAAAACACTCAGAAATTGTCGTTTCTTTTCCTCTTCAGAACCTTCCCTTCACCTCTTTCCAGTGGAGGATAATGAGGGCAGGATGAAAACCAGAACTGGAAGAGCTGGTCAGACTCCTCATTCTCCAAAGAACTAGGCTCCCAGGACGCAGTGAGGACAGACAGCTTGATGCAACTAATGTAGCCAAAACACCGGCAGTTAAGCAAGTCAAAAAAAAATGTGTTTTGTATCATTTCAGCAATCCCAATTGGCTGCCTAAAGAGAAGATCCTACTCTAGGTTTTCAGAATACCTGTGCAGATAAGAGCTAAATCGGAGGTCTCAAAACCCTGCCATCTAGCTAAAATCTGAAAAATTCAGTTTGTAAGCTGCATGATTTCCCAATACTTCCAAATAATTCTTCTATTTGAAAATATCTAAGGATCCCACCATTTGCATGTAGATGTTTGACGTCATTCAGATGAAAAATCCAATTTTACTACACCTTAATATTGATTGGATAGATTACAAACTTGTGAAGAACAACATAATCTCCTTTGTCCACAGTCACCCTGGATATCTTTATGGCTGCAGCAACCTGGCCATCTTTGGAAACCTCTGAAAGCATGAAGCATTTGCCCTGCTTCTCCCAATATCTGGTGCAATAGATGCAGTGTCCAGCTACTCCTGCAGAAAGAAGACTCAGAATTCATTCCATACCTATGTTAGTATAAGAAAAAGAGTGCCCCGTAGGGCCTAGTCAGCACTGGGCCCACAATGAGCATTCAATAAATCCTTAGTGATTGAGTATTTACGGAAAATCTGTGTTTGCACATAGATAGTGGCTTCCCAAGGCCTGTGCTTAGGGCTTGATGTGCCCTGTTTGGTGGAAGCAGAGCAGCTGTCTCCTGCGTCTGGGGATTTCTCACTTGGGGGAGCAAATCCTCTAAGTATTTACAATCATTTAACAACTGCTGCCTATATCCTGACACTTACCTCCCAAATTTCTCTCCAATCCACCCACACCCCTGACCCATGCACTGCATTAGTCTCCCTTCCCTGCTTCCACCCTGGCCCTGTGGAGGTCCCTCCCCTACACACAGCCAGAATCATCTTTTTACAATGCTGATCTGCTTAAAAATCTGCAGTGGTTCCCAATGCATTCAGGGTCAAAATCAAAAACCCTACTGAGGCAGGGCACAGTGGCTCAAGTCTGTAATTCCAGTATTTTGGGAAGCCAAAGTGGGTGGATCACCTGAGGTCAGGAGTTTGAGACCAGCCTAGCCAACACTGTGAAATCCCATCTCTACTAATAATGCAAGAACATTTAGCTGGGCATGGTGGTACATGCCTGCAGCCCCAGCTACTTGGGAGGTTGAGACACAAGAATCGCTTGAACCCTGTAGGTGGAAGTTGCAGTGAGCTGAGATCGTGCCAGTGTACTCCAAAAAAAAAAAAAAAGGAAAAAGAAGCACTTGCCTCATTTCAGCCCCTGTCTCTGGGGCCCAGCTGCTTTCATGCATTTACTCAGGGACTTTGCATATCCTGTTCCCTTGTTTTAGGCATGTCCCCCTCCACCTGGACCTTACCCTGTGAGCTCCTGCTTGTCCTTCAGCTGTCAGCACCAATGCCATGTCCTCAGGAAGAACCTTCTTGACAGCCCCTGACTATCCCCCAACCCCTGCCACACACCTACATCCCTACAGCAACCCTATGGTGCCCTTCAAAACATTGATGAATTAATGAGATTATGTGATTATTAGGAGTTTCCTTTGCTAGATCGTAAGCTCCAGGAAGGACTAGCCAAGATGGGTTTGCTCAACTTTTTTATCCCCAGGGTCTAGCACAGTGCCTGAGAACCTGATGTATAGTAGATACCTAATAAAAACAGGTTGAATCAAAGAATGACTGACAGATTGATAAGAGGAAGAAGGAACGGAAAGAAGGTTGGGGAGAAGACAAGAGGGAGAGAGGAAAAAAGAAAGGGAGAGAGAGAGGAAAGGAAGAAGCAGAGGGAAGGAGAGAAGAGAGGGAAAGAGGGAGGAAGGAAGAGAAAGAAGTAGGAAGAAAATGGAGGAAGGGAGGAAAGTTTCCTGGAGAGACAATAATAATAAACTCCAATACTATGTAAATTCTTCACCATTTCTAAATCCAAAAATCCCTGAATCTTATATACATGACCCCCTTGTCTCCCTGTGTTTTAAATGAATCAAGGGTGTAATGTTAACAACAATGAAGAAGAAATGAAAGGAACAGCTGGTTCTTCCATGATTACTGGTTCATTCATTCATTCTACAAATATTCCATGTGCCAGGCCATGCGGTCACTGCTAGGGAGAAGCATGTGACCTAGCAGATGTGCACATGGTGGATTTCAGCTGACTAGACCTTACCACGCAACCTTGGGCAAGTTGCCCACCTGGTCTGAGCCTGTTTCCTTCTCTGTAAGGTGTGGAGGTTGAATGATCCCTAATAACCATTCCAAAGCTAATCTTCTATTGCCTCCAAACTGGATAATAATAATAATAAACATTACTAACTGAGTATTTAGTCTGTACAAGGTCCTATGGTGTTTCTCTATATTATCTCAGTTGAGAATCAGGGCTTGATATGCCCTGTTTGGTAGAAGGTATATTTCTCTATATTATCTCAGTTGATTCTCAACTGAGATTTTCAACTGAGATAATATAGATACTATCAATAAATGTAATTGGAGGCAGGGAGTAGAAGTGTAGGAGTAATATAGTATCTATATTATCCATACTATTATCAACTGAGATAATAGATTCAGAATCAAATGTAATCAAATGAGGTATCATTTGATATCTCAGTTGGGATAGGTAGAATTACTAACAGCTATTTTATAAACAAAGAAAACTGAAGCAAAAGAGATTAGCTAACTTGTCAATGGTCAACAAGCTAGAAAATGATGACATTGGAATTTAAACAAATATTCCTCTGACCTCACTTTGCTACATAACCTCAGATTGTATCATGCCCTGTAACAATGCTGGAGGTGGCCAGGACATGGTGCCAAGTCTCAGGGGCATGACAGAAGAGGCAGAAGCACATTTGGTTCTTGTGTTTAAAGCAGGTGGTTTTCTCCAAGCTTCTCTGGACTTCAGGTGAACACCTTCCCTTGGTCCTCAGAACACCTCTTCCCCAGATGTATGACTGCTTAAGAAGACTTTGAGGTCACAGGTAGAAAAGCATGGCATCCAGAAACACAGCTTCTCCTGACCAAGGCTGTCAACAGTCACGAACATTGTCCATGAGCTGGTTTCCTTCAGGAGACAATTTCCTGGCCCAAACCTTCACTGGTTGTTTTCTGCCTCAGTCTACGTCATAACTGGGTGCTCTCAAGCCAGACATGGATGCAAATAAGTTATGTTTGACATGATAGCTTCTAAAAATTGGAATATATCACATAAAATCCCAGATATGGGACTTTGCTTCAGAAATTAGAAGGTCTGGCTACAGATGACCTACAATCCAATGACCAACTGAAGCTGAATAGGAACTGACCTTTCAAATACACATGACTAGCCATAGGCTCCACTGCTCCTTATTGCCACATATTGACCCCATAGGCATTTGAATTTGGAAAGCCCAGACCTCAGAACCAAATCCAAGGCCTGGCACTCAAAGTCCTTTGCTACCTGGACCCCAATCTCTTGTTCCAGTCAACCTAAAACCCTTGCTGTCCAGCCTTCTGGAGTGGGCCCACCTGAAGGGCTCCTTTTCATTATACCTCATCCAAGCGTCCTTCTTGTCTTCCTACACTTCTACTCCCTGCCTCCAGTTGCATTGGATTCTGCATCTTTTGGCTTCCTTTTCCTTCCCTGCCCAGCTGGGATCCACACAAAAGTGTGGAAACCCTGACTTTTTGAGATCTATGCATGGAAGAACTACTGAAGAAGAACCCATTGCCTGATTCCTTGCTGCTACTCAAAGTGTGGTCCAAGAACTAACTACCTTAGCAATGCCCGGGAGCTTGTCAGAAAGGCAAGATTCCAGACCTCCACTCTACACTATTAAAACCGAAGCTGAACTTTAATAAGATCTTCCAGGTGAATTGGATCACATTAAAGTTTTGGCAACCCTGACCTACTGCAAGAATTGCAAGTCAAAGCCAGGCTCAGCTACAGGCTCAGGTACTCCCTAGTTCTTCTAATCCCACTCCCTAGTTCTTCTCCAGGCCACTCAGCTTCTCCCACAGCACCAAGGTAGATCACAAAAGGCTCAGTAACAAATCCAGCAGGGTGGCCACTTTCTAATGAGGGCAGAATTAGGCAGATCAGGGTCCCAGGACTGAAGGCATACACCCACCTTTCACATGATGAGTGCCAGTCCCTGTGTGCCACATCAGATCAGCCTTCTGACCCCAAGCCATCCAAATATCCCTGCTCTACTGCAGAGGGAAGGAACTGAGCTAGACAAAATAGGAAATGTTCTGAAACTAAATGTGGTCATGAGCTCTGACCAACGTGCAGGAACAGTTGTAGATGCTGGAGAT